AAAAGAAAGAAAAATGACTTTTGTGTAATGAACACGAAGTTGAATGGTTTTTACGTAACAAAAAAAATAGAAGTAACTTTTAGATAACAAACACAAAAGTTCAATGACCATGGATAAAATTAACTCTCATATTCAACATTATTCTTATACCCTCTACCAAACGACTCCTAAGATCTTTACTTAATTTTCAGTTAAACCTGATTAAAGTAGGTGTGAAGGCTGATTATTTTCAATAGTAAGGCCATTCGCTCTTGATTATGATAAACCTTAATGGACGTCAGAAAAGGTAATCATTATTTTTTTTTTTTTTTTGGTACGAAATTGAAAAAGGGGAAAAGTTTTATTTTATGCCATACAACTGACGCTAGTTGTATGAAGCCTCTTTTTTTGTCTCACAACTGTGTGGTCCCATAATTTTGTGGACCCAAATATGTAAGATATGAGTCCACAAATATGTAAGATAAAAAGAGGCATTGTGTGAGGCACACCATAAAATCACTCGAAAAAGAGAGAAAACATTCTTGGCCTTCTTAATTTCGTGATAAAAAATCCATCTAGGTGTGGAGCTACATGTAATGAAAGATGCTAAATTAAATCTCCTTCGCTTGAATTATATTATGCAAATAGTATTTAAACAATAATTTTATATGCATAAATTATTGAATCCCAAATTTCATATGTTGACAAAAAGTGTTCAAAAATTGTAAAAATAGCACGGGCTAGCCAGTTTTCGGACTGGTCATTCAAAAATAGTCAACGTTTGCCAAGTCATTAAAAAATAGCCACTATTTTACTGCAACAAAGACTGATCCAGCATAATATACTGGAGTTCGATGCACCGGTGTATTAATTGCTTTATGTTTCAGGTTCAAATTCGGGATCTTCCATCCGTCCACTCAAAATTTATGAATTATAAAAAAGATAAAATAGAGAAAAGAGTTTTTTTTTCTTATCTATACCATATATGAAACCTTATTACCCAAAATGTGCATAGTATCTAAATTACCCGCCTAGTCCACATTTTTCCTACAATTTCTGTACCATTTGTTTAATACACGATTAATTGGGCAGAATCTTCCATAATTAACGCGCTAAAAATTAGGAAAAAATCTTGCGATTGATTGAGTCTTCATTAAAATTCTGCCTTAATCACCTGCGAAAAATTAGGAAGCCATTATGGAAGTAAATATTCTTCCAGATATTTTCCACCATTGATAGCCATTAAAAATCTTGAAAGCTTTGAATTCAAATTTGGGTTTTCAAAAATCATTATTTGTTTGGATTGGGTGTTGTTGAAAATAATCGGGAATATGGTTTGGAGTTTATATCTCAATTTTGAGGGGTTTTGGTGAAGATTAGACTTGGTTTTGACTGAATTTCAGATTGAAACTCGAAGAAGAAGAGAAGAAGAAGACATATTGCAGAAATTGTAGATAAATTGTAGATTTTTTGTATTCTGATTGTAGATGCTTTATTTTCTGTTTTCACAAATAAAAAAACGGTTAAAACTTCTACAAATCTTCTGAATTAATGCAATTATGTCAAAAATCACAATTATGCTACAATTGGATGAGAATTGGGATATAAAAATTTAATATACCCTGTTTGTAGATATTTTGTANTTTTTTATTTGTGAAAACAGAAAATAAAGCATCTACAATCAGAATACAAAAAATCTACAATTTATCCACAATTTCTGCAATATGATTGTAGATGCTTTATTTTCTGATTGTAGATGNTGTCGAAAATGTCAATTATGCTACAATTGAAATGAGAATTGGGATATTAAAATTTAATGTATCCAGTTTGTAGATATTTTGTAGATTATTTGTATTCTGATTGTAGATACATTATTTTCTGTTTTCACAAATCCAAAACGACTAAAACTTCTACAAAATCTTCTGCAAAAAACAGTCTACAATTTATCTACAAATCTTCTACAATTTATCTACAATTGCTGCAATATAATGTATGTCATGTCTTCTTCTTCTTCTTCTTCTTCTTCTTCTTCTTCTTCTTCTTCTTCTTCTTCTTCTTCTTCTTCTTCTTCTTCGAGTTTCAATCTGAAATTCATTGGTTGAAGATAAATATTGTATAGAATGTTGAGATGAACATCAACATTTGTATTTAACTATCTTTTAATTGTTGTAGGTGTTTCCTGAAGAGCTATTTGTTCAGCTACTGAAAGTGACATTGCATCCGGATGTCGAAATTCGTATTGGAGGACACCACATACAAGGAAATGGAATGCCAATGGCACATCTACGTTTGTGTCAATTACCGCTCTACTTGAGAAGCTTCGAAAGGAAAAGGATGGAATTAAGTTGAAGGAAGGGTCTGGTAGTCTAGATGATTTAAAGGAGAGGGACATAGTTGACGAAGAACGGAATAAGGGTTGGGCCCTAAAAAATTCTCCAAGTAGAGCAGGTCTTAGAAATTAGGGGGATAGAGAAACGTGGGATATATGGACACCTTTAATTAAGGAGTAAAAATTGCCCATTAATTAGACCCTTAATTAAGTATGGTATAGGATTGGTAATTTGATATACTAAGTGTAATTAAATCAAACCTTAAACATTGAGGGTAATAAGATTTCCTATGTGGCATAGGAATATAAAAATTCCAATAGAAAAATATTCCGACACGGGCCATTGAGGATATTAAGGCAAGATGTTATAGATTAGGAGACACAAGCTTTTGTTTGTAACAAAAACTCCAAATTGAAGGACAATCCCACCATTGCTTTTTCACATGGATAACACTAGTTGATTGATTCCGTGAGTTTTATTCTCAAAGTTCCAAACTAAGATAATGATATTCATGCACACAAACATATTGCAAAATCATTAACATTTTGAAAAGCATACGTGTTTGTTGGAATCTTTCAAGAATTCACATGATAGGTAATGTCGTTATCTTTGATTAAGTTCAAAGGGATATTACGTGTATTTTTTTATTTTTTTTCCTATTCAGTGCCCCGTACTCGCTTTAGAGGTCCTACTAATTTGAATTAATGTTAAAAAAATTCAATAGCACTCTTACCAAAAGCGATTCTGTTTTGAAGATTTGAATTCGAAATCTTTGATTAATGATAAAGGAATAACTTTATACCTACCACAACCTTAGATGATAATGTATCAAGAACTCAAGGAATATCTTCTCATTCCACTTCGTTGAAAATTAGCTTAAAATGTAGTAATTAGATCCAAATTCCTTTCTAAAAGCCTTTCTTCATTTCAGATTTTGAAAAAGCAAACCAAATTAAAAATGACATAGAACTGGTCTACACCATAGATAGTGACAGATCAACTTAATCGTTTGAGTATTATCTGAATTTATTAGTAATAAATATACATTGGATAGTAATAAGAGCCGGAAAACACTAGTAATTTGCAAATTAAAATCAAGTCAATCCATATTAAAAATATTTTCCAATGCCTATCCTATTGTACTATCTTAAGGTCAAAAGCTTTTTAATTTTTGCAATTGCCCGAATTATATATAATAAAGGTTGACTAATTAAGAGGTTGTAAAAAAGGTCTTAAAGCATGAAAACTGACATACAAACTGTTACTTAGAGGTTTATGTTTGTTTCCATTTGCAATTACTCTAAGCAAAAGTAGGGTAGGCCTAGTAGCTGGGGGGTGGAGGGGGGGGGGGGGATGACCCCATAGACTAAAGGTCTTTTCCAAGCCGTGATTGATGGGCAATAAAATTCCAAGATTTCTTATTTCACACTCTTTTGGAAGAGTCCTAATTCACATTTTGGCCAATTCTTAGGGGCCGTTTGGTCATACAATTTTTTTCATTTTTTTTCAAAAAATTTTACTTTTTTCGAAATCAGTGTTTGGCCATAAAATTTTAAATTTTCACTTGAAAATGAATTTATTTAGGATTTTTCGAAAATTTGAAAAACTTCAAAAGGTTGTTTTTCAAAAATCTACTTCAAATCACTCAAAAAAATTCAAAAACAACCCAAAATTCTATTCATGTCCAAACATAACTCTACCTTTTAAATACTATTTTTACTTGAAAAAAAATTATTTTTTTCCGAAATTTTACGATTCTTATGTCCAAACGCCCATTTAGATGGAACATGGGCTAGAAGAGTGAATGTCCCCACAAAAAATAAATGCATACCCCCCTTATCTTTTTTCTTTTAGTCACTCTCAAGTTTCAACTACCACCTAGTAAAGCAAAGCTACACACTGAATAAAAAGTGAAATCCAAGTTTTCCTATTTACAGAAAGTAATTAAAGTTTTTTACAAAATATATATTCGGTCAAAATCTATAATTTATCTACAAATTACAACTTAAAAATAATTTTTCGTATAGAGTTCCAATCAAAAAACTACAATTTACATACAATTTATATACAATTATGTTAGTTGTATATATTTTGTAGCTGTTTCTACACCGACATACAAAACATATACAATTTGCTTATGTCTTCTTCTTGGATACTCAATCTGCAATTTCGACCAAAATCACCTGAATCGTCACCAAATTCTCTCAAAATTGAGATATAAACTCCAAAGAATATTCCCAATTATTTGAAATACAGCCAATGCAATTAAATAATAATTTCCTAATGGATTTAATCTTGAATATGCCTAGTTCACATTTTGATGGGTTCAATCTCTATTGCTTCGTCAAGCGCACTGAATTGATGAAGTTTTCTTGCAGGATGCTCTAAATCAAGCATTAAAAATTGTATTGAAAGTAGTGCCGTTTCGGAATTCTGGACCAAGCGAAGGACTCCATTTGTTTTTATTTTTTACTATGGAGATATTTTTGGACAAATTCGTGCCACCTCGACTATTTTATTAAATATTTACTATTTTTCATTAATTCATATGTGAATAATTCTATTCATCAGTATTAGACAAATAAAAATAAGCTGTACGAGGATATGATACCGTGGTGTTTCATAATACTTCTCACTTTATTATTGGACCATCTCTCTCCAACTTTATTATAAATATAAGTTGAAGAACCTTCATTTTCAATTAATCAAAGCCAAAAAAAGGCCATGGACTGGTATTCTTGGCTATGCAAAACAGGGCTAGAGCCCTCTCTAGTTTATGAATATGGCCTAGCTTTTGCTCATAATGAGCTCCAATGCGAAGACATCGCTTACTTCAACCATGAATTTCTTCAAAGCATAGGCATTTCTATAGGTAAACACAGGCTAGAAATTCTTAAACTTGCCAAAAAAGAAATAGGAGCAATTCCAAATTCTATGTCAAGATTTCTCCAATTGATCAAAAGTACAAAGAGGCGTTTGTCCAAGTATATAATGAATTTGGGTCATAGAGAGGAATTAGCTCTTGCTTTAGTCCCAAAAAGAAATTGCAGTTCAAGATGGAAAAATGCTATGTTGAAGAGGAACAAGAGAGTGGCTGCAGCTAAGCAGACAACGTTGTTGCTCACAAATGGGAGTCCTGTTTTCATGTCTGATTTAAGAATGAACAGTTTTTCAAGTTCGATGATTTATGATGATTTCCCAGCTGATGAAAAGATGGGGGCAGATTATTGGACATCCTCTGTAGTTGAAGAGATCAGGTGGGATGCAATGTTTCAGAATATGAAACCAACTTAATTATACTCTAATTTTGTTTATGTAATTTTAATGGTGAAAGATGGATTCTTTTTGGGTTCTTCCACCAACTTCCTTTACTTAATTGAGATTTCTGTAATAATGGGTGATTTGAATTAGGAAGTTTGCGGTGTGCAGAAGGAGAAAGCCACCCATGAATGATGTGTGTGCGTGTGTCTGTGTGTTTATCAATGGGATTTTTTACATGCTTTATTACCATTTTTTTAATTTTATTTTATGCAAAGATCCGAAGGTAGTGATGACGATGGGACATACCTAGTTATATTAACTGTTATATATCCATATGCAGAACCCATTATAACACACTATAATTTTATTAATTTAATGAAATTCATAAAAGCTATAATCGTGTCTATAATTGTCATGATGAAGATTTATAAATGGGGCATAGTTTGGATAATCTGAGGTGCTCACTGGGTAAAATCGTATCAAATTTATGATACAAACGATGTTTCTGGCATATATATATGCAAGGTCCATGAGATCAAGGTTACTTCCTTGTAGTAACTGAATAACTTGGTTTCATTTTGTTGATCTTCAGCTTAGAAGCAGGAAAGTAAAAGTATTGTTTGCCATAAACTACTAAAACCTATTATTTGCACACTTTTAATATACTTAGGATATCTAGCTTACTAGCGTTCTGCACTTCACTTTATCTCAAACAGGCACTTTCCTCAGAAAATTAGATAGCAGATTGTTGTACCGTAGGAAAACAAATGCTGGAAACTCTAATGAATGGCAAAATTAGATTGGAATATCAGGCAAGTCCTTTCAATTTCGAGCAAATCAAACGTTATGCTTGCATACCGAATACTCTGAAATCAACTAAACTTGCTGCGGTAGGAAAAAACAACCATATAGCTTAAGTTAATACTAGAATATTAAAATGGCTGAGTTATCCAGCATTGCACAGAAGTTAGGACCAAAATCTGTTTAGTAACTTCACCAAATCTTGGAACTCAAATCAAAATCACTTCTTTAAGAATGTAATTTCCTTGTATAATTGTCAATACGAATTTTACTCTCAAATAAAAAAAAGGGAGAAAGGTTGAAAAGCTTCAAAATGGAACATCAATAGCTGCGGCCCCAGTATGTCCACTTCTTAGCAGGTTTACCCGATGCGAAGCACAATGTACCTACAGCAGAAGAAAATGACATATTAGATGATGACAATAGCACCAAGCCCTTCGCAGTATCAGAAACAATAATAAACACTGACAATGCTGCATGTCTGTATTTGTAAGATTAATTTTTTCTTCATTGTTTTTGATGTATTACTCTTAAACAATCTGCAAGTAAATAGTACCTTCAGGCAGCTCAGGCTGGTCAAATGGAGAGCAAAGAGTCTTTGCCGCACCCATCTCCCCTTTCGTGCGCGCCTTGACATCTTTCTCGACATCCTACCAGAAAGCAATTATGTGAAACTAATGAAAACATGAAATCAAACCAAAGCTGCCAATTGAATGCATCACCATAAACCACACATAGGAATGTGCATCAGGGATTTATTTATAGAATGTGCAAATTCATATTATTATTGCAGAGAGAATACCTGACAATAAAGAACGCTACTGACTAAAAAAGAGGATGCAAATTTTATGGGGTAGCCAATTAGTGTTCTCAAAATTCAAGGTACAAACAATTAATATACAGAGGACATTATCTTTCCATATTTCAGTAAGTGACAGTGTGATTTGTCAAAAGGACAAAGCAAACATTAGAAGTCAGAATTTCATTAATTTTGACATCGTGATTAATTTTTTCATTGATTAACCCCAGTTCATCAGAATTTAATGGGTGTTCACTTCACCTAAAACAAGGATTTGAAGGGTGTTTCACTTGCCTAAAGATAAGAATATGTGACAGCTTATAAAATACTGTGCATTATACATGAAAAACATTCAAGGAAAAGCTAGTTATCAAAAAACCTATAAAGCCTTAGTTCTAATAGTCATGTATCACGTCCCTAAACTAGATCAGTTGACTCCCTAGAAATTGATTCACCGACGAGTCATGATGACAACCGATAAACATCCTGATAAACCACAATCTGAAGCATTTCACACCGGCTGACTCACCAGAAGCAGAGATGTAAACTGCGAGATTTCAGTTTTCCAGTCCACGAATGGAATAAAAGATTCAACTCAGATACAACCACTAAGAGGTTTGAAAGGATACATACCTCCTCATCACACCAAGGAGCCAAGACCAATTTCTTTTGGCCCAGTGCTACTGTAAATTCATCCCAAGTTCTTACAATCTGAACGCAGGCATCTCGCTTTTGTTTTGCAACATCAAATAGATTTTGTTGGATAGTGGCGAGCAGATCTTTTAGTTGTTCGACAAGATTATCCATGGGAATATCTGTTTTGGCTCCGTTGTCACGTCGAACAGCTCGTACCTAGGAGTTATATCAGAACAACATAGTTAAACATATAAGTGTATTTTGGCTTCCACACAAACAGCTTAGCTCCATGGGACAAACAGTACTCAGTCCTTTTTAACTTTCATAAACAACTGACTATTAGCAAGAAAAGTCAAGAAGTTGAATTTTTACCTGGTTATTTGCAAGGTCTTTTGGTCCTATTTCAATCCTAAGAGGAACCCCCTTCATTTCCCAATGAGAATATTTCCAGCCAGGTGAATAGTTATCTCTGAAGTCTGCCTCAGCACGAATACCTGATTCATTCAACTTCTCAACAGTAGCAGCACAGGCATCAAAGATCCCTTGAGTATTTGCATCCTTGTATGGCACAGGAATAACAATTACTTGAGTTGATGCTACTTTAGGAGGTAAGACCAGGCCTTTGTCATCCCCATGAACCATGATCATAACACCAATCTGTCATAGCACACACACAAATGAAAAAATAAAGAGGGTTAACTTGACCTCCAAAGTAAAAAGGCGACGAGACAGTAGCTAAATGGCTTTGAATTCTCACTGTTCTAGTAGTATAGGCCCATGAGTTCTGCCAGACCATAGCCTTCTCTCCCTTCTCATTTTCAAAATTTATCTCAAACATTTTAGCAAAATTCTGGCCTAAACAGTGTGAAGTTGCACCTTGGATACCACGGCCAGTATTAGGGATAAAAGCCTGGCAAATAAATCCGGGAATCATATGAATAAATGGCAGATAGGAGAATTTCACCAACAATTTTCAAAGAAAATACTGTTAGAAACCGCCAAACAATGTCTACACAGATGTGCTCTTGGATACCTCAACTGTAGTCGTGTAGAGTCCACCGGCAAACTTCTCAAGCTCACTTTTCTTTCCCTTACTGACTGGAACGGCTAAAAATTCTTCATATATACGTCTATACAATTCCAAGATATCAAGAACCTGAATCAAATATAGACGCAAGATCACTATTTCTGAAAAAGACCATATCTGTACAAGCAAAACAGTCTATGAACTTGAACAAAGATGTGGGAAGCTGATAGCAGCAAGTCTTTTCTGGGCCGAATCAAGGAACCTCAGTTCCAAGCAACTAATTCTCACAGAAGCTTGTCCACTAATTTGCTCATATAATTATTCAACAATAATACAAGATAAGAAGACTATTAGAAGAAAACAACTGCAAATGGGTAAGGATAAGCCAAAGAGAAACATAAAGTAGTCTCAACTGATGTTTAAGTGGCAGGCAATGAAATACAAGTCACAACTACTTTATCCACGGGAGAATAATGTACCAATGTAGATCTGCAAATGTTGGAACAGACAATTTCCAAAACTCAACTTATAGCCGCCCCGACCCAAAATTTGACACCAGTTCCAAGGTAGCATATAATAAATGAAAGTAGCTTATTTGCAAGTTGTGATACTAACCCCTAATATTCTAAAGTAACAATTCATATCTGCACGGAAAATGTCCCATAATTCAATCAAGTGATTCTACCTTTTATTTACAGATTGACCACTCCCTTTCCTTATGCAATCAGACAAATAATATCACTTTCTGAGAAAGCTGCAATCTGATCCATTCTTCACTTTAATATAAATTTTCACCAATTAACCCTAATAAATAAAAGAGCAAAAAATGTGATTTATCCATGTTCTCCCATTTGAAACTAAATCATACACATTGTCAGTTTTTTCGTATAGTTGTAGGATTATTTCAGAATATCTTTGATTTGAAGCAGAAAACCATATGATTCACATATTAACTTCCAGTCCTTCCAAAGGCCTAACTGATAGTATGAGGTAAATAAATGTCAAAGCTCATCAATATCCCAATTACAAATTTAATCAATGAAGAGAAGAAAACTATATAGCCCCATTACTAATCACCCGAAGCAGCCGTAGAATTTCGATCTCCCAAACCTCACTCTCTCTTAGCTCACTCCAGAAAAAAAAGAAAAAAAAAGCCATGTTCCTTAAGTTCCTTGCTCCGGCATTAGTATCATCCTAAGTTGCTCAGACTCGGGTGCGGGTGTCCAATACGGGTTCGGATCTAAAGGTTAGATCCTTCATAATCCAAATTTTAAGATTCAGGGGTATGAATCCAGGTACAGATATGGGTGCGAGGATTCAGCTAAAAATAATTCAAATATCTAAAAATAAAGTAATAAAAATATGTCGAAATTATGAAATACTATGTTGGATAACTTACAACGTATTCTAGGAGAGAAAATATTGATTAAGAGGAGATCCGAGAAGGAGATAAAAGGAAAAAGGCGGACATATTTCTACATACAAAGTATTCCATTTTCTTCAGTTTCACCCTAGCTTTTGTTTTGATTTCAGAAATCATTATATCTATCCCGAATTTCTCCGTCGATTTTAGTCAAAGTACCCAAAATCAAAAGACCAGAACCGGTACGTATCCCGCATCCCACACCCACACACATGTCGTGTCAACACGGGTGCAACACTGAAAGTGGAGAGTCCGAGTAACTTAGGTATCATCTTCCTTTCTTGGAGACGGGCACCGAGATCATCTTATGTCAAGACACGTTAGAGGTCAGTCCTTGTAACTTGGACTAAATGCTGAGTTGCTTGTCCTAGAAGCGCCTAGTTCTGTCTTGATAAAAAATCAACTATAATTCTCCCCATGAAACAAACAATAGGCAAAAAATAATATTAAATGGATAATATTGACACTGGAAGGACTAGTTAGGCATCATGCAGCAAATATAACACAGACAAAGCCTGAATTGGAAGATTCACTGTAAAACTATCTTTTCTTGAAGT